GCAACACAGCATAGTACTACAGCATGAGTGAAATCCAGCCCATTACCCAAGTAAGTAGCTGGATTTTACTAAATCAAGACCAATATGAGAGCAATGAGAGGGAGGGGTCCTGAAAATTAATTACTTAATTCACTGGAACCTAAATTCAGGATTAAAAAAAGACATTACTATTCTAGGTTCCTGTTGTGACTTCAGTTTTGACCCAAAAAAGTTAGTTGAGAAATCTGTATTTATGGTAACACAAACAACAATACCCCCTGCATAACCCCTTAAAAACTTGCCTTTAGTAACTAATAAGACTTGCAGATAGCTACCCCAATAGATACAGGTGTTTCCAAACAAATACAATTAAGCGTAAAAGAATACAGAAGATAATGCAATAATCATACTCATCTAGGTTAAATTTGGCAGGATTTTTTAGTACCCAATTCCACGTACCCAAAAGGGAAAGTCACCTACGTTTGGCTCACTAAGACAAAAATATGAAGCAGCTGAAAACAGATTGCTGAAAACAGCTGGCAACAGTATTAGGGTAACTATTTGGACATGTTTGTATCAAAATGTGTATGACAAAAGAGCACCAAGCATTTTCATTCTCCAAATTCTCTTTCCTACACAATTATAGAATTGTTTTATTTGATATGTGGATGGAAAACATTCAGAAATATATAAAATTTGGCTGTGGTTGGGCAAATATGAAAAACTAAAGACATCTCAACACATTCTTACTATTTAGAAATCTCCACACTTGCCTAATAAAACCCACTAAGCCTGTATGTTCAAGGAAAGTTGTGCTAACTGGATGACGTAATGAAGGCTGGATGAAGTAAAGGAAGTAACAAAGAGCCTTCTTCAAAGGTATGAAAAAAGAGGATAAAATGTAATGCTGAACACCACTCTTCCTCTAGCACTAACAAAAATTAAAGGGTGCAGAAAGAAGTTTTGTACTGACCGAGTGTGATGATAAAAGTATCACTTTAACCTGCGTGGGAAACATGTATATGAAGGAATACAGAAGTGATGCGGGGACACATATCATTTAGGGGAAAGCTGATGCACACCAATAGATCTGTTCCCTTGTTCCTTTTCTGTGAACACTTCATTTAGAGCAGAGGGCATGTTTTCTTGTTTGGCAGCCATCACTAGCTCAGCAGAGCTAAGTAAAGGTTACAGATCTGACTGCAGTTAGGAAAAGATCACCCATGACAGAGAACACTGCACTTACAGTAAAATGCTAGCCATGTTTCCCCCTTTCCAAGTGTGGTCCTTAACCCCTCACATTTTAAAAGGGAGAAAAACCCGAAAATACTAGCCCCACGTTGCTGGTTGAAGCCAGCACCCCCAAAGGAGCAAATCCAGGTTACAGCAAGTATTTGTTTACAAGTCAGCTTAAGAAATAGTGCCTGCATTCCACACGTTCTTCACTGCAGGGATGGATGCAGCAGGAGGCGAGTTTCAAAAGCAAATGAGTGCTGAAAACTTTCAGTTAAAAATTCATTTGTAAATAGCTATATGACCATTTTGATGAATCGCACAGAGGCATTCAATCTGCTTCCATATCAACGTGAAACTACACTGTTTATGACAATTATGTTGTTTCATCAAAGCAAATTCTCTTTTCCGAACAAGTATCCTTTGTCCTACAGAACTGTTAGTTAAAAGAAGTTATGCCATTCAGAAATGAAACTAAATGGGAAATAAAATGTATTTCAGAGGCATCAGTATAAACCTAACAGGAACCAGACTGCTGTCACTGCCTATAATTGCCCAGAAGTAAATGCTTTAGCAGTTGTCAGGGGCAGAAAACATAACTGAGCAAAAGTCCAGAACACAATGGATGCATTTGTGGGTTTTAATATTTAAACTGAGACTTGAACCAGTCCCAGAGCTACACCCAATGCAGACCCCCGCCTACTGCTGCCGTCGAGAGCAAAAAAACGGCTGGGGGCCTTGTTATGGGACTGCCGGGCTCCAAGCTGTGGCAATTTTGGCCCCCTCAATACCTGCTCTCTCACCCAGACTGCAGGACAGATGGAGGGAGCACAAGGAGCCCCACAGAGCAACTAATTCTGCAAATGACCTTTGTAAACAGGGCAGGTCTTACTCTGCGAGCTCTTGGCTTGTATCTGACTAGGCAGTGGGCTAGAGAAGAAATGAAGATGTAAACCAGGTTGTGTAAACCAGGTCGTGTATGTATTTAAACCAATATTTTTTTGTTTCTACTTAAAACCTGCTGATGTCTTTCCAGGAATGCATAAAACCTAGCCAAGTATTTTCTTAATATACACACAGGCCAAATGCCAGAGATTAGATATTCAACATAAGAAATACATTGAGAATCTAGGAGTACTGAATTTTTCTCAGATGCTAACACAAAGACTATATGATTTAAAAAAATAGAAGAGATTTCTGTCTCTTAACATCTCTTAACAGAAATTCACATATGGACATTTCAGAAGGTGGGGTCTTTCAATAAGTTCTCTTGTTGGTTTTTTTTTTTTTTTTTTTTTAGTTTTTCCTGTTAGTTTTTGTTAACTCTAGTTACAGCATCCCAGAGAAGTGCAGCTATGGAGTACAAATGAATGCTCCTCCTTCAAGTGCAGTTATGTCCCAATTTAACAATTTTGAAGCACAGTTTCTATGGCTGATACATTGCTGAACATCCCAGCCATCACAGATAAATGTATACTTGTCAGGAGAGGGCCATCATAAGATGGCAGCAAACATGATACAGCAACAGTAAATGAAAAACAAAAATCCCCCCCCCAAAAACGGTTCCCGCAACAAGGATCTGCCACAGTTTTTGGCTGAATTTACCTGAAGAAAAGAGATTTTTTTTCTTTTTCTGCCCTTTAAAAACAAGCAAAAAATTCTCCAAAATACTGAAGACTTTACAATTAAAGAAGGGATCAACATGACCAATGAGGAACTGGAAATGAAACTCAGTACTGTTGAGCACTCCTTTGCAGGTGTGGGAGCACATTATCCACCAAACTCCCAAAACTAGGATTGTGTCTCAAAAGGAATTAGCAGGACAAAATCTAATACACCAAAATGGGATTTTCCTAATCACGCTGGATATACCCTAAAAGCTATTAAAATGGTCAATTTTGCAGTCTGGTTTTCTGTACTGATGCTAGGCAATACAGTGGTGCTAGAAGGGATGGTGATTCCAGCTAATTTTTGTGGCTCAGCTACAATTAGCGTATTTTGGAAAACCTAGGAAGGAAGGCAGGGAGAAAACATAAACCAAAAATTCAGTTGAGAGTATATTAGGACAGAAATAATAAACTAACCTGTGGACAGAAACGCATCAGGTTCATTATTTATGCCAGGCTGTATTATCCCAAGAGCCAAGAAACCTAAATAGTACATTGCCACCATGACATCTGTATTGTAAATCTGTAACCATATCTTCTAATGGCTGATGGAAATTATACTAATTTCATTTTTATACTGTCAGCAGAAATAAGAATACAGCTTGTTATTATACAACTGTGTGCAATTTACTTCACATAAGCGTGGACACAAACTTTATTTTCAGTGAGGCTCTCTGGTTTAAAGTGACAGCTCTCCTACAAACCATCTTTTTAGAAAGTGCTCAGTGCACCTTAGTAAAGAGTTTGGCTCCTAAACAGGGACCACTCCCTGTGGAAGAACTGTCTCTCAATGAAAAAGGTATCTGAAAATGTTCCAACTATAAAGAGCTGCAAACTTGAACCAAATAAGATGAACAATTTTAGAGTAACCAAAAAAAAAAGCAAGATGTTACTTTTCATTCATAGAAAGACTTCTTTGAGAATTTACATTCTCCTTTGATTTGTGGTCCAAGAGAAACTTGGATTTCCAAGTTTACTTCCTTCAAGTTATCTGGATTCTGAGAGGATCTGCTGCCTTAGAATATGTGTACTTGGCTCTCTTTGGGGTTTTATGTTGATATATAATGAAATCAAAATTGGAGGCAATTAAAAAAAAAAAAAAAAAAAAAAACGAACAGGAACCCCAGTCAAAGACCAAGAATTGCTTCTCTGTGCATGGCAGAAAAAAAATAATTGTGTATTCCTATTGAGTTTCAGGGTTCAGCACACATAGAAGGACTCTTGAACTCTGTCTGATACTTGGACACAAAAAAAGTCCCACATAGCAAGAGCTGAATTTCTTTTCTACTCCAATAGCCACATTAGAGAGCCCAGTTAAAACATTCCTTGACACAGCCAAACCTTGGCTTTCTTGTGAAACATAAACAGGACCATGTTTAACCTAGTCCTTGAGTCAGATGACTGGTGTGCACCACATAAAGCTCTGGTCTGGTTCAAGGACACTGCTAAAGCACAGCGATGTGGGGTGACTGCTGCCCTGAACAAACAGCTCCTCTTTCCACCGCTCACTGTGTAAGGCAAAAGGACCACTCCAACACTAACGTGCTGGAGAGCTGTTTTCTTTCAGTTAACTCCAGCTACTACTCTACAGTTTCTTTCTCTCCCCTCAACATGCACCCGTGTCAAAAGAAACTGCCCTTTGTTTTTACTCAAAGAATGGTTCTGATTGCCCCTGCACATATGGAAGACTTTAACATCAAAAACATTCGCACACAAGAAATTTCACTTTCTCACAGTTTAACATTAAGGGTTTTCTTCCTGCTTCTGAACTACAAAAAATAAATAGTGATAAAAATCAAATATATTGTAGTTACTGATGAGAGTTGTCTAAACAGACAGGCTAGTTATAAACAGTCAGCAATGACAGACGACCATATGTTAAGCTTCCCATTATCGTGACAGAAAACATTACAATCACCTTAATTATAGAAACAGTGATTTCTCCCCTCAGTGGCAATGTAATGCAAGAAAGTGCAACTACTTCTGTTCTGTAGTGCACTACGGTCTACAGCAAAGACAAGCATATGCACGAATTGTCAAGCATTTGCGCAAACAGATCAAGTTGCCAAGTATGCAGCTAACCTAAATGGTCTCAAAAGGGGGAAAGAAAGCAAACTTTACCTTGTGTGTTTTGTTGAAATATTTTGTTCAGATCCAAAGAGGAAGCTCTGGAATGTGATTTCTGTGGCCTTGGAGGCGGAGTTGGGGGCTCTTCTCCCTTTTTCATGGCATCCTCTATTGATGTGCTAGAATAAGACCTAAGGAAAAACAGGGTGGGGGGAAAAAGCAGAAAATATTTATTTTAAACAACTACAGTAAACAGTACCTAAAAATACGCTCACCAGAACTCAGGTTCATGGTGGAAATTCCTTGCCCTAATGACTAAAAAATCCCCCTTATAACAAGACAGATTTATTTGGCAACAGAGGGACCTACACGTCTGGGGAGAGGAATGAGTCATGCTTACAGGGCTAATATTTTTTAAGGCCTTTTATATCACAGCTTCAGGCCTTCTTACATAACTTAAACTGCCAACAGGATAATTGTAGCAATTATTTTGAATAAACCTGAGTAAAATTCCATCCTCTCCCCTCCTCCCCCCATTTTACAGTTCTGTTGCCTTTCTCAACTGCAAGGGTAGTGTTTACACAGGTATAGCATCAACCTACCTCTTGCAAATACACATTTTGTAACTTGTAATATTCTAAACATCAGAATAAATTTTTCATAGCAAATGGTCAGCAAATTCCACTAAATCCAGAAAATCTAAATAGCTTCAAAGTGACCAAAACTGGTCAAATACATGTCTCAGTACCTCTTTCTAGGCCCTTCCACATCCCATTAATCCCAATGCAGTGCATTTGCTAAGAATTTAGATTTTGTTGAATAGTGTCCAATATTTTTCAGCTGTTGTAGTTACCAGTTCTTCTGCAAGACTGAGAGCTTTGTTCAAAATGAGCATTGACAATGTGAGATGTTACACTTACTGTAACACATTATGCATGACAGGCAAGACCAAAAACACATTCGAGTAGAACAGAAATAACTCGCACTAATGGGAAATGGATCACTTTTTTGCCAAACGGGCTGTTGTTAGAAAACAGCCCTTTAGCGGGACAGACATTTGGCAATGCTGATCTTATGCTTCTGATGTAAACTTTAATAAATACAGGAGTGAAAGCCATAATTGCCTCAAAATTTACATGTGATACTAAAACCTCTCCTGATGCTGAATTATTTATCTTGGTAGAGCTTTGAATTCCACAGCCCTATTACATGAGACCTAACCCAAACCCCCTGAAATAAATGGGAAAGTTTTGAACCAGGATCTTAAGGTTTTATACTCTTACTTTCCATATTATGCAGTGTATATTTTCCTTGCATTAAAATTGTACAACCTAAGAGTTTGACTTTTTTTTTTTTTTTTAAGAACGAGTAAGAGAGCTACCAAGTAAAAATATGCCGGCCGCAGCAGCACCCACAGAGAGCCCTGTGACAGTGAATCACTGCTTGCAACAGGAGGACCTGGGCACCCAAGAGTCAGTTAAGAGTCAGCAGCTAAGAGTCTGCACAGCTTAGGCTAGAAAGCCAGGCTCCAGAGCTGAGAGACTCAAATCCTAGATTCAAGTGGTCAGGCACACCTGAAGACAGAGACCCTCGAAATTACAGACCCCTCTAGGCTCTGTAGGACAAGCACAGAAGAAGGTCTGAATTCAAGGATGTGCTCAGGAATCTTCAGTCTCAACTTCTGCACTGAAGTAGTGACATATAGTCAGATGTGAGACAGTCAGATGTGACACAGTAGTCACATTCAAGTGACTTGTTTTCAAACTTGTTCAAGCATTTGCTATTTTACGCATTTTTGCAGAAAATATTTTTAATACATTTTTTGCATACTTGCATTTTATAACTCAGTAACACAGCAAAAAAATTTAAAATAGTATGAAAACTAAAAAGCTTTGGCGAGCAGCAGAAAAATGGCACAGAAGGCTATTCAGCCTTCCTGGATATAGTTCCCAAGAACACAGGATTTCCATCTTCATTCATCATGCGTACAGCTGATCCTCTCTTATTAGCAGGCTTTGACAAGCTTGTAAGGAGGGAGCTCCTGATTACACTCTCATTACCCAAGAAAAAGAAATTAAGCCCTCTAACCAGCTCCAAAAAAAAGTCTGAAGGGGAATGCATAATATGACTATACACCAGAATGGTGAACAGCCAAAACCAAATATACCATCCACTTACACACAATATTTTCTGGTACAGGTCTCCCTTTTCTTTCTTTCAAAGATACAAATTCAGCAGGTGTCATTGCTAGCGCACAACAGTATAAGTTCATATGCCCTTCCATCGCACACCAGCCAGCCACAGTCAAGTACACCAAGGAAAGGATTCACTCACCCACATCCAAGAGCTGAGCTACTATTGCTGTTTCTGCGGGAGCTTGCAGTGTCTCCCTCCATGTGCAACCACTGCACAGGTGGTAACAGCACAAAACTGCTGATAACGTTCCTCACAACAGGGTGGTCCCTCCAGTCCTGCCACCATACCCCTGGGGCTGGGCTGGAGGCAGCCACCACCCTGGCAAAGCAGCGGGACTGGACAGACAGGCAAAAAGAAGTCCCAGTGCCTTATGACCAGAGATCATAGGGCCCTAGGGCAGTACTTATTTAGGGTCTATAGCTTACAGATCCCTCCTGGTAGATCTGTCTGATCTGAGCTGTGCTTCCAGCACAACACCAGTTAAAAAAAAAAAAAAAAATTAAAAATGCAACACCAGTTCTCACGCCTTGTGTCCAACACCAGAGGATCGTATGAAATAGAAGTGAAAGCAGTACCTGGATCGTGGTCTGGCTCTAAGTGCATTAGATTCCTGAGCAGCTGGAACAGAAAAGAAAAAAAAAAAAAAAAAACCACTAAAGCATTGTATTTTAAATAAACACCTTTAACTGCAGAATCAGTGTTCATTAAAAATGTTGATGTGAAAGTGTGCGTATCTCACATGAGCAATGGGGACTGATTTTCACTTCTCCTTCCCCTTTGTTTTTGTAGTGTGTGAATGTCCTAAGAATTGAAAAGCCCACATGTAGTCAGAGTCTCATCTCTTAATTTGGTTACCAGAACCCAGAAAAAGCAATGGGCCTAATAGCTCTGATCTGTACTCCTGGATGTAGTTGTGACAAAGCAACATAAGGAATAGCATAAACTTTCCACAGAAAACATCTTACTTCTAGTCCAGATACCTATTAGTTGTCCTGCTTCCCAAAGCACAAAGCTTTATGTCCTTCCTAAACACTTGAACTAATTAGCATAAACGTTCATCTTCTTACCACCCATACAAAAAAATAAACACATCAGATTGAGACTACTTTGACATTGGAAAGGAAAGATACTTGAAGATACAAAGCATTACAGGCAAAGTGTTGATCAAATACATTCCTATCAATGTAAAAATAAGTTTCTTTTATTTGGATGAATTCCAAATATCCTGCCACATGCAGCTTTTATGTGATAGGAAAACAACAGCACTAACTTACCTTCTCTGGGTAATTCCTCGAGGCTGCTCCTTGGTTTACATAGTCTTTTTTTGTTACTCTCCTTACTAACATCAGACAATATTGAGAAAACCTATCTGTGTGATCACTTTCAAATTCAGACCACTGAGATAGCCTCAAGGTATTACAGTGGCATCAGTGATCCCACTGCAGACACACAGTAAATGAATCCATGTACTTTTCCCATTATTCTGCTAATCACGGTACAACACTTAAGAGAAGCAAGTAGACTAGTGGGGGAAACCACCACATTCTCAGAGTTTATAGCTTCCTTCAGATATATGCCTACTTCCAAGTCAGACATTTATCACCAGCCACTATACGGCACTACCTGAGAATATGACAGATCCTCCGGAACAGAGCAGGAGCTACCTGTGGTGGCAGCTGGCGAATACTGACGTTTTAATGGCTTGGATTGTACAACTGCATAGATCCTCCATAGGAGGCTTTAGGCTCACAGAAGACAAACAGCAGCATATGGCACATGTATAGCCACACACTATTTCTTCATAAAAGGAACCGCTTTTAGGGCCATGCAGTGCTAGCTGGTACCCTGGATGGAATAAAGCCAAATGCAGCTGTCAGTGACACAACCAACCACTTATAAATCAAGTTGCAGTAGATTATTGTCACCACCAAACTGTCTCACAGTCATTCCAGATTTCTGTGCAACAAACTCTTCCTAGCAACTAAAGGAGAGAAACAGAATTATTATTAAAATATGCAATGGTGATAATCCTCCTCTCTCTCTGTGTCAAACTCCCAGGGAATACAACTTCAGACACTGCTTCCCTACAGCCATATGACCCAATTTTTCCAATGCTGAAATTGCTGATTATTAAATTACATGAATAATTATTAAATATACGCCACTTAGAAATAGGAAGTATAAATCCTTTCCAACCTAAGCCGTGTTTAAGAACCTTCAAATTTTCCTTCTTTTATGGAGACTGTAATTCTGTTCACACTTCTTTCAGAAAGCCTTTTGTCTAAAAACCTGCAGATAAAACTGACATTCAAACTCTGCAAGGAGATCTTGTTGAGGTAAACAGGAAAGCACACAAGGAAGAGAGAATACTGAAATGACTCCTGATAAAAAAAATGATAGCAATAGGATACTACAACCAAGGATTTTCTTTTAAGCCTTTGAAAAAACAGGAAATTCAAGGTTACAAATACACAATACCCAGACTTAGCTTTACCTTTCAAAACAAGTAGTACAATATAAAAAAAATCATAGAACAGGTAGTTCATTATTAGGACATACAAATTATTGTGGTAGGATTTCCATAAAGCATGCAGTTATTCTGGTATGCTCAGTTTGTGTGTACTTTGTGTTTGAGGTGCAGGTTTACCCAAAACCAACATAATAATTCAAGATGATACAAAACTATTTATTCCAGTTCATTAATTTTCCATATTTCTATTGCTATGGATACATAAGCCTACCTTATATGAAACAGATACAAAATTAAAGCTGTGGAGTAATTGAATTAGTTTTATTATTTAAGAGTTTGTATGACTCCTGAAGCAGTAGGGTCTGATGACCTGAACAGCTTGGTCTGCACTAATTAAAATCATATACAATGATGAACTCTTATTTATTCATTCGCACCACAGGAAAGTGTGAAGGTTCCTGGTTTGGGTGTTGAACTTCCACCCTGCCCTCCCAATACATCTTAATTTAAACACTCCTAAGGATGCAGGCTCAGTAACTTTTGGCTGTACCCTGATGGCTTATACTCAGCTGCTGCCTCCTTGCTTTACAGGCTGATGATCAGGTGGAAAACCATACCATAAAAGGTGCAAGAACGCTACACGGCTAAGGAAAAAACCAAGAATTCCCCACTAGTTTAAATCACCCCCACTGACCCATCTATTACCTCTTATGGGTAGCCCAGGCAGAAATATACAATTTAAACACTCACAAATTTAGCCTTTTAAATGTCTAAGGTCAACAATGATCTTGCACTTGAGAGCCTAAATAAACTCACCAGATATTCGGAGATGCTGAGCATGTAAAGTTTTTACTGACTTCAAAGGTCTAGTCCTCCTAATGGCAAAGAAAACTTTCTAATAATGAACCACAGCAGCATCATCTTTCTTGAATTTACATAAACAGCCCAAACCAATAACTGGAGAAGGATGTAAAATTTCTCCCACTTCATCCCATCCAAGTTTTCATCCTGAAGGTTAATGATTACGATGACCTTTCAGAATGATGATCAATTCTGAAATAACCTCAACTACTGTGCTGTATCTAGCCCACTGCACAGATACATGTTTTTACTTCTAACACCAATCGCATCATGCCACCTGAAAATGTGCTCGCTCAAACCCTCACTGTGCAGGACAGCAAGGGCGAAAGCCCTACAGTGACAGGAGTCATGACAATGGGGTGAAACTCTGCTACTGTCTCCTTTGCTATACAAACACAGGAACGCTGCTGGAAGAGCACAGCAGCACTGGGAAGACCTCCCTGACTAGGAGATGAAGGACACGGGGAAAAGAGGTGGGTGGCAAAGGAGATGTACAGGTGACAGTAGATTTCTTTTCCTAAGCATACCGAAGATGAAATTACTGCACTGAAAGTAAAGCTCCCCAGGGCACTCCTGGGCCAAACTGGGAGGAGAACAGAACTGAAAGTCTTGAAACCACCCGCCTCTCGCCCTGAGACAGAAGTGTAAGAGTGTGTGTGTGTGTGAAGGAGAAGCAGCAATCATTTGAGAACAGGAGCTGAAGATAGGAAACCTCGCAGCTGACGAGTGTTTGGGAAGAAGCCTGGAAAAAAAGAGTTGGGAAATGAGGCATGCAGCTGTTGAGCAGCCGTGAATAAATCAAGCTACAAGACAAAACTGCTGTGACAGACATGTGGGGTCAGTTTTCTTAATCAAGGATATCTTCACGAGTAAAAACATTTATGCAAAATAAAAAGAAAGCAAGTCCAGATTTTAGCTTGACTGGGACCAGGGAAGGCTAGCAAACACTCTTACTGCCCTAGGAAAGAGATTAACAAAGAGGAAGGCAAGGGAGGTCTGATGAACTGAACCAAATGCATAGGAAGTTTCTGGAGCAACTAAGCAATTTTGACATATGCTGCTCCAGAAATAACATTTTCCAGCATGATAGGAACAAGGAGTGTATGTTGGAGTTGGGAGAGAGAAAAATGAGGGGTGATTTCAACAAAGAAACACCCCCTGAATCAAAAGCTTGTGTCCATGTTGTAAGTGCCTCAAGGTCTGTGTTTCCAAAAGGCCATCTACCTTTAAACTCCTTGACAGAAAGTATGAAAGTTTAGTTTTTACAAAGAAAGAGGCCATTTCAGAGTAGTTACTGAATACCTGTTCTATACTTGAGAAGAGCTTTTATCAAGAGGTACAATATTTATGCTCTGGGACCTCATTTGTAGTATAGAAAAATAAAATTCAGACTCCTTACAAAATACTACGTTAAAAACATCTCCCACACATGAAGAATGCATGTACACTAACAAGTGAAAGAAAGCAAAAAAACCTTTTGACAAACTGAAGTATTAACTAAGATTAATTTTGCAAGTAGAAGTCATAAATTATGAGGTAAAGCTAATTTCAATAGTAAAATAGTATGAGAGCAAAAGGACCTTAAAAAAATCAAATTACATCAATTTAGGCTTACTGTGATAAAAAAAATATGTGATCGAAATGCTAATGGAAGCAACAGGTCAATTTTTTTCTTCTTACCTGTTTTCACAGTCAAGTGCTGAAATTCCTTTGGTATCGTTTTGAGAGCAGTGTTTACTTTAAGAGCTTAATAAAGAGAACAAAACAATGAGAATTACTTTAACTATGTGCAGGTAAAATCTGAGAAAGGAGCACCTAAATCGGTATTAGTTCGAACATCTGATAACACCAAACATACTCAAAAAGCAGACAAATACCCTCAGAACACCCAAGCACCCAAAAAAGTAACAGTTTCTAAGAGCACAAAAGTCAAGAACAGAAAGGCCTATGCCCAAGTTGCCAAATCATCTCAAACTTGGAGAATTTGGCGGTTTGAGTGCCTGAAACCAAGGAAAACTTCTGTTTCAGAGATGTAGCTCTCTCACAGAGACAGCCGTGAGCCACACCTGGCACAGCCAGGACTCATCTCTCCCTAGCTACAAACCTCGAAAGCCAGGACGCATGAGAGGCTTGCTGCTTCTGGCAACTGAAACCTCACCAGCCTGCCCCAGGGAACATCATATGGAACCAACAGAGGCAGGGTTAAAACTTAGGAAAGAAATTTAAGAAATACCAGTTCTTTGTGCTTATTCCCCTTCCACAAATGCCTACGCAACCTTTATTAATCTTAGGGCATTCTTAATACATTGTAGCATATTTTAATGTACTGTAATACACTGTATTGTAAATGACCACTTGGACTAAATCTCTCGTCTCCATCTGCCTTTATGAAATAAAACACATGGGAAAAGTCTGGTTCTTGGGATCCACTTGTATTTATATTATCTTCCATATTCAATTATATTTAACCTGACAGGGTGGAGCTAATTTACTTGTATAGTTTAGAAAATGCAGAAAAATCAGCTTTTACAGTCCTGAAGTTCTTGACTTCTGGGGAGATCTGCTTAGTCAGGAGAGCAATCTGCTCTTTCATTTGTCAGAGTAGCAGTTAAGTGGTAGAACAAGAGCATTTGTACTTTGGCTGAAAAGGTATAAATCTGCGTCATAAATACAGCAAGTCTTCAGCCCTGAAGGACTCCAAGTACCAAAGCAGCTTCCCATCTGACTTAACATGTCAGCTATCAAGAGCAAAGCACAAGTTTTTCACCTATACAGGGAAGAAAAAAAGATTCCCCAAGTAAAAAGTAAATCTGCCCTAGACATGTGAAAGCAATAACGTTCAAGGTTCAAGTCCTGCTCTTGTCCATTACAAATTTTACAACAAACCAAACCTTGTCAATAAAACATGAATTTCTTGGAACATGCTGACTTGTCAAAATGTTTTACAAACACCCATCAACTCTGACAACCCTTCTCTGACCCAGAGACACTGGGAACCTGCCAAACTTGGTCACACCTGAGTGTGGAAGGTGACTCAGGAATGCGGACTACCTGGTTGCACAGCTCTGATGCAACCTCAGCATGTGGACAGCTGGGAGGTCAAGACAGATAATTTTTTAAAATCAATTTATAATCCACAGCTCTGAGAATAAGGCAACAAAATACCCACAACTGTTCTGTTTCCACAGCTGACGGACAGGGACAGTAAGCAAGAACCTGAGAGGCTGGGGAAAGGGAATATAAAAGGGAACGACTGCGAGATATCCAGTGCTTGCTTACTCTGGAAGCCCTAGTAGTGGCTGAGTGGAAAAGGAAAAAGATCACTTCAATTCCACATGGCTTGCTGATGCCAGATTTCAAGTGAAATAAACGAATCAAGTATTTTCAATCCAGCTTGTCCAAAACTTTTGTTTTGCAAGAAAATATAGGATTTTAATAGAAATAAAACCTAATGTTCAAGTGTTACTATTTCCTGCAAAAAGGGAAATCCAAAATTTGCTGCCAATGTAGTCGTTACACTTACAAAATTCCTGATAAAAACAACTTTGTTGAAGTAAGAAGTGCAACATTAACTGCATTAAGACTAGACATATTTTAGAAGGTGTATTTCATATCATTCACATATCATAGTTCCTAATTTTGAAGCAAACCCATCCATTTGTCTTCGAATAGCTGCTGTCAACGAATTGTCTCTTTCAATCTGTAGCAACACATAGCGAGTTTAGAAATTAAACTTATAATTGCTACTGTCAGCAAATATATGGAGTTACTAAAACCACACAGAACTCAACCCCTAACGGGAAAAAAAAAAGTTATTTATTTGAATACCTTGTTTTTCATCTTTCTTTGCATCTTGTAACAGGGCAGAGTTATCAGGTACCTCTTCAGCTGATGCCTTCTTAAAGAAAGAAGATGGATTTATTAACTGACTGGCATAGCACACACTTTCCACAGCCAAATGTTTAGGAATACAGACCAACACAAACAAAGGTGATATTCTCTCTTGCACCATAATTAGCTCTGTCATACAAGACCTTCACAATACAACTATAACTCTGCTTTTCAAGGGACAGCAGCTCCACACCTGAAATTAGTTAGAAAGCACTTCAACAGTGAGTCACAAGGAACTAAGGCCTATATGCAAGGCGACAGTTCTCATAATTGAGCAATGTCATACTGTGTCTTCTTTTGTCTTCGGGTGTAATCCCTGTACTAGAGTTGAGAAAAACCTTCTCCAGCCCCTTCACAAGAGTCAGTCTCCATCAAAATACTCTCTCCAGGCAAAACTCCAGCTGTACTCCAGAGCCCAGTAGTTCTGTTTAAAGTCTTCCACCTGAGGTGGCTGATCCCTGGACCAGTCTTGCCTTTCAACATGCAATAACTGAGATGGGAAAAACAAATTTTATTAGCATGTCTGCTGGAGGCCCACAGGCCTCTGATGGGGAAACAGAGAATTTATCCCCAGCCTTATTCCTTAGCTTTTCTTTATTTCAGCAGCGACTTATAATGTAGGTATTTGTCATTCTTGTAACTTCTGCTGCATAGCTCAGAAGAAGGAACCAGGAACAAATTCTACTACCATTATCTGTAAGAACAAGGATGTATTCTGCAGCCAAAACAATAAAGCAAGCATCAGAAACCCCAAGCTTCCTTAAATATTAAGTGACACTGGTTTTTCTTCCCAGGGAGCATGGAAGACGTTATAATCCACTGAGCCTAAAAAAAAAAAATTAAATTCATAAACACAGATTTTGCAGACATTAAAAAAAAACAAAACACAAAGAAAATCTCAAGTCAGTAATTCAAGAGGGCCAAGTCCAGAGTAAAGGGCAAAGAGATCTATTTTGTAAAGTTGCACATGAGATTCCTGAATGCTTCTGAGGAAGCAACATAGCAAAAATACAGCTTGAAGACTCTGAAAGTGTTTGAACAAAACACTTCACATCCCTAGCTAGCCCTGACACTCTGAAGAGCATCAGACTAAGGACCTAATCCAGTGCATGCTTGAATGACAGAATGACTCTCACAAATTTCAATGAGCTGTGAGCATGACATTTCTGAGGGAGTTTAGAGCAGGCCCAGCCAGTCATTTTATGCATATAGTGCAAAATCTTGTGTCTTTAAGATTTTGTCAGCAAGAAACCTTGTGGAAAAGAGCCAAAGGAGTGGAAAAGAAAGAAGGGGAAAAAAAAAAAAAAAAGGGAAAAGACAGATCAGAACCAGAGTGGGAGACAAAAACCTGAGAAAAAAATATGGGAAAACAAAACCTCCTTGTTTAACAAAAAGCAGTCACCCATGTCATTCTCAAGCATAACATTAGCAGTTTTGGTGTGTTTTGTAAGTTTAACAAAGCCCAGCATTCAGGTGACCCATCTCCTGCCATTATTTTCTTTATGGATGCATTCAAGAACTACTTCCACTGCACTGTAGTACTGTAGTTCAGCAGTTACAGGTAAAAATGGTCTGAAATTAAACTAAACAGCCTGAATAGGTGGCAAGAGACAATGACAGACATTATTGCATAACTGATTGAATTGATAATATAAAAACTTCAATGCAGTGATCTCAACTGTCTAACCTATATTTCCTCAGGTAACCAAGCTACAAATTAAATTGCAACAGTGAGTTACTGAACCTCCCACAGAGGGAAATGAAAGGAAGATGAATTACTGACCTTTCAAATGATACTCATCCAGTGTATTAATTCTGAACATAAAAACATCAATTGAACAAAATAAAAAAAATCAAGTCAAAATAATTCTCAAATCAGTTTTGAGAAGAGATTTTCTAGTCCATTAATCCTGGATAACGAAGGACCAAAATAACAAGGCCCTGAAACAAACTAATTGAGAGCTTTGCTCTTCATGTCTAGGACCCAGGCAGTGAGGAACTGGAGCAAAATCAGTCAATTGTGTTAACACTCTGTTATTTGTTTTGTGTCAGGTAACACTTATCCATGCTCAACCAGCAGGCCATCATGCTGCATTTCCAGCCTAGCCGTAAAGAAACTGATTTTGCAGAACATCCTGCCACCTTACAGAACCTCAGAATGGCACAGAAGATACAGCTGTTCCCCCAAGAACATTATCTGACTACAGAGGCAGTACAGCAATCTGCGAGTTATTGGCAGTTATGGTGAGAATCTCAAGGAGAGTGCAGAGGTAAGGCAGAGGAGCTTTGCAAGCTTAACTGCTGAAAAACGAACAAAAAATTACACATAAAATGGGAGACTCATTGCTTGTTTGGGGTTTTTTTACATGTTGTGCTGTATACTCTCTACAGCGATGCAATTATTACTGTAATACTCCTAAAATTATCATCTCCACTGCAGCAGAAAAATCTAAAAAGCAAAAAAAATATAACTTAATTGCTTAAGAAATCATCTCCTTCTAGATTTATCCTTACTCTGCACATACAATCAAGGACCACAAACAAGAAGAGCCTAAAAACCAGACATTTAATAAGATTATAAAACAGTATTGGTTAGGTTACTGAAATTACATTTTATTTCTAAGAAACACAAGATGACTCTGAACGCAAGACTTCTCAGCTTTCTGAAATATATAAAAGAACATTCTAATCTCACAGTCCCAAAGGCTGTGCTACTAAAGAGCAGACTTCCTCCCAACTTTGCAATAACCAAAGACCACTTTGAATATCTGGGTAATCCGCAAAGCCAGTATCCTAACAACAAGGGTTCCCTGAATCACAGAGATACTGAAGTAGATCCTGAAGTCAAGAAGTTACATAAACTGAAGCTTTTTAATCAGTGTATAAAAGATACATCATTATACATTTATTTATAAAATATAATTTGTATATAATATCTTTTTTTTTTAAGATATGAAGGTGTGTTTGTGTATGCACATAAAAATGCAAGTGAAAAAGAGAAGCTGACACTCGGGGGTCTAACAAAACAATATCTGAGCATGGATATGTCAGTTTTTAAGTAGAAGATAAATTATTCTCTCTAAAACCGAGTGTCTTAAGCTGATGCAGTGAGGTAACTCAAATACTCAGTTGACACTGGAAGTGGAATTGTGTACATACGTACACACATACGCTGACATCAGTAAATGCGAGTTTTCAACACAGATCGCCTTGAATTTTGCCTCTTACACTTGTTTAAATTGCAAATCAGTATGCATATGTGCTAATGAAGCACGCTATCCAGGGACTGCGGAGCACACAGTGCAGAAGCACTACAGCAGTATGGCAGAATCTCGCAGCTGCCTGCGAACAACCACCCTCCCAAAATAAGGTCATATGCAAGGGACAGTTCTGCTGTGGTAGAGGACCTGCCTTCACTGCCACAGTACCAGCAGTCCACATTACTAGAACACCAGCACTGCTTTCAAAACCCAGTATGACTGCTGTACTTCAGCCAAGCTCCTCTACAAAGAGCAATACCACCCAGGGAGACTGCATATATCTTAACAGTTCCAGAAGATAAACTGGATGCTCAAAGCGCTGGCTGCAGCATTGCCCAAAGCGAACATTGTGCTCTGTAGCAGCTCAGGAAAAGTTGCTTGGTGATACCACTGCCGAGCTGAATTTGATAAAGGAACAGCAGGGTTCTGACCCAGGAACTCCCCAGAGCAAGGCATAGGGGAGAAATAACTGGCAAACAGCTTTTTTGAGCTGCCATGACATACCCATTACTTTTTAACTTGGAAGCAGCATCAGAAAGGCCCATTCTTGCAGTCAGTCTGCCATTTCATTCACTGCCTTTAAATTAAATCCTATTAAATCCTTAAATCCCACAGCATATATATTCAGAGCTGCAATATCCAAGCACAACTCTCGCCATGGTTAGTTCAGCTCTACAGGATCTCTAAAGTTTCAGTTTTTAACCTCAGTGATAAACTCTTCTCCTTCATTTAGTTTCGCTTGCAACAGTCTTCCATGACAAGGCTGGTATCTGTTGTGATATTGTTCCAATGGATCTCCATTCTTCCCCCAAAACACTCCTCCTAGCTCCTTACAATTACTTCCTACACCCTTAGATAGTAGCTCCTTAGACTATGAAAAGGCTGGATATTAAAATGGAAACTGAATCACTTAGAACAGAACTATGCATGTACAAAATCTGGGATAGTTTCAGTCTCCAAAGCAGCAAAGTGCAAGGAACTGGGACAAGCCAAGACATTTTTCTTCTCGTCATCAAAACTGAGAGAGTGAGTGTGGAACCAGAGCACTCTAAATCGCAGAAACACTCAAGAGCTACATGGTCAGGAGTGCCTGACTACAACAAGGTCTGCGCCTGAAGCCTCACATTTTCAACCAATTCAGAGTCAGGAGACATTTCTCCTGAGCCCTGTCCATGCACCACACCATTCCTCCTGCAGCATGGGAAACTGCTGAGAGAGGGGTTTGAGACGGCTTAATGGAAAGCTTAGAGACTCCCAAAGTCCTCTCAAAGACTTGCAGTTCTGCTGCCACGCACACCACAGTCACTGTGAAGCTGGCCTGTTCCTCTGCACTCTGCAAAGCAACCACCCTGCTTACACCTTCTCACCTCTGTCCGACTGAAGTCCCGAGCCTGCTGACCGCCTGGCAATGTCTCAGAATAAGACTCAAATAGTGCAGAGTCACGCATGGGCTTCAAAGAAGCTGCAGGGGAAAGAAAAAGAAAGTAAAAAAAAAAAAAAAAAGAGAGACACACCAAATCTTTGGTTAATACACACTTACTGAAAACCTGTTACGGCATCATTTTGCCCTTGATTTCTACTTATCAGAACTGATCTATGGGCCATGATGCCAAACACCATGAAGCAAATCTTTCTATCTAGTATTTTGAGTAAGTGAATATCATGAAAGAGGTAGCATGTATAATTTCTGTTGTAGAAGTAATTGTGAAATTTGGGAGAAGTGATTCTTTACAAACATTAACTGCCAAACAATGAGCATTTATTTGCTTTTTTCCTCCTCACAGTCCAGTATCAACTTAGTTGGCCTTACAGTTTATACCTTGCTGTTAAAGGTATAAAGGTTAAATGTTGAAGGTACTTAACAAATCTTCAACTCCAATTTTTGACATTTTGAATACTGAAACGTATAATAGAATCTACATTATACACTAAAATTGAAGGCCAGCAAAAAAGCAAGGACACTCAACATGGCAGATGCTGCAGTATATACCATCTTTAACTAAACAGCATTGAAAGCAGGAGAGGGGAAAAAAAAAAACAAAAAAAAACAAAACCAAAAAAACCCACAAACAAAAAAAACCCCAACTTATCAGAGGAACATTCACAAGAACTTAATTTCTATTGCACAATCTCAGGTCCTTCTGCTGATATCACTCTGGGATTATTTCTTCTGAGATAAATCTGTCCCAACAGCTGGAAAATGGTTTTTCTTAACGATCAATAATATTGAAAGGCAGAATAACCAGTTCTCTCACCAAATTTATAGCTTCTGGCTAACATCTAGTTTAACTGAATAAATGAAGCTCTTGCAAATCTGTCTTAATTTACAATACAGTGGGTTACATACAGAACAAATAGCTTTACAGGTTCTGTAAACTAGTTCTAATAAAAACTTTCAGAAAATAAGGTGGTGGGTCAAATTGTCAATGGAGTTGTGCCAGGACAGCAGTTGGACCTGCATTTGTAGTTTATAGAACAAGTCATAAAACTAGCAAGATTAATCCATTCTTAAATGCTCATTCTTATATTCCAAGTCACTTTATTTGAAGCTTTAACACTTATCAGATGCAAATATTTCACTTGAACCAAAATCTGCCTCATTCTAAAACAACTACAGCAACCTAATGAAAAACAGTTTCCAGTAATTTTCATCAGGTTCCTAACAAGCCAAAAAAAAAATAAAAATCTAAGTTTCACAGAAATCAATATATAAACATGAAAACAAAAATTTCTCATTAAAATTTATTTTGATATATCGTCAGGTAAGTGTATGAGGCATTTGCTTCCTTACCAATGCTTCACTTCAGAAGCCGGTACAACCAGGGCTCTATGTTTTCTTGTGATTCACAGTGTTACAGTGTGTTGACATGTTCTTTATTAATACAAGTCTTTCAAAAGACATATTTCTGAATCCTGACTAGGTAGCAGAACAGCGCAACACATTTTCAGACCCTCAAGCTAACCAGAATTAGCACACTAGCTGAGGTATTTCGAGTGCCCACAATGAACAATTAGTTCTTTCACCTCTTACACACAGATCAGCTTGAAATGCTTGGTTGTGTGCAACACCACGAAACAATAATCATCTAAGAAAATGGTAAAGACCCCAGTGTTCAAAAGGGACAAATGAGGGAAAAAGAGGACTCCCAGGGAACAACCAACCACAGCTTACCGTGCTCTTCCTCCCACAGATATAATGATTCCCACTACTAGAGACAGTTATTTCCATTGCAGTTTTAAGCAAAAAGGCTTAATGTGAAGACACATCAAGAATCTGCATGGAGGAGCTAATTTATCATGAGAACAGGCATAAGAGTAGTGAACAATGTAGTAGTCCTGAAGGGAAAAGGGTAGTTGTAATTATGACATGGGAATGTAATTAGAGAGACTAAAAGTGATGAAGACTTGGAAGTGCAGGTTTTATAGGAGCTTCGCCCTTTGGATATGAAGACAGTGGATTATAAGGAACATGACTCCACCAGAAATTACTTCACAAATCCAATACAGGGTGAACATTTAATTTTCCTAACTGCAACTTGATTTGCTCTTTTCCTGTCTTTTAATATATTCAGTGCCATCAAATTTAACGGAGATTTTATTAGGTCTTAAATATTATCCTTTAGCACTGTAATTATCATTTGTGATTAATCCTCCTTGCCCTAGAAAGTCATGCACATTTTTTAGATGGAATTGTATATATTTCAATGTTCATTTATAATTAAAAGATACATAACTGGAGAGAACATATGAAAGGGCAGGCCTCTCACTGCACATTGTTACTGAGGTATCTTATATTTTGGATTAGTTCATCCTTGTGCTACACAAACTGTTGTAATCCCCCCATCATTACTGCAAATTACTTACAGAAGAATCTGTGGATTACATAAAATGGATTACAAAAAAAGCCCCAACCTTTGATACAGCCAGTAACTGCATCTAACAAAATACATCAGCATAATAACTTCTAAAGTGGTCCAGTATCATTTTCAACCCATCTTCGAGACAGATTCTTAAGGGAAAAATCATCAAAATAGTTAAAAACCATATAAGTCTTGTTGTATAATCTGTGACACAGGTAATTATCTGCCACCTCAGCTAGGAACACTGGAGCAAAGGCAGACATTAAGAGGCAGGTAACTGCTACACTTTGCATTGCGATTTTGTGCTTTTATACATTCCTTCTTCAGCAATCGCCTCCTAAGCACAGTTAAAAATGTATGTGTTAAAAAGCAAATGGAAAGTCATTGCGCAGCACAGAACCCCATCCTACCTGCAGGACGGAAAATGAAACCTGTCTTAAACACACATTGGGTTCCTGAGATGGCTACAGGAACATGACCTGCTGCAGGGACGTTACCTGCTTGAAGGTACTCGGGCAGCAGCGTCTCCGGCAGTGCCTCCGGCAGCTGGTAACCATTCTTCCTCGCAACCACGAGGTGGAAAGCAGCACAAAACTCTGGGAGTGTCAGCGCCCCATCACAATCCACGTCGCTCAGCTCCCTGCAGGTACGACAGGCACACATTTTCCAAGCCATTACCTCAGGGAAGCATATGTGTGCAACCACAGGGGAGACAGAAATGGAACTTTGACAAGTATCTCTGTCATTTCCACTTGATCCTAACTTGTATATGTGTCTCAGGGAAGATGAAGCAAACTAATTTTCTAATACCGACTTGTCTCTTATTTCTTTTTTAATTAAGTACATTTTTTGTTATACATCATACCATATAATATGCTGGTATATATATACTATAACATGAAATACATATCCTGTACTTCCAAGGGTGAAATTAATTTTCCAATGGTTGGAAGCACTTTTGGCCAATCCATGCAGAATCTTAACCCAGTTCAAGCAGAAAAAGTTAAAAATGGACTTCAGCAATGGCTACTTAGCACCATTGACTAGCCTCAATAAAAGAGCTAGATTAATGCTTTTTACAAAAGAATTTATCTACCAAACATGAACTGCTTAACTTCTCAACTAAAGTGGTTCTCTCTTTAATTCTAGGATGCTTCTCAAACACTAAAACTGGACTTCAGAAATTCAAGAATTCAATTTTATAAATTTACTCTTTGTAAGAATTGAGTAATATTTTATGAGCACATGGACTAAAGCAGATAAACATACAGCTTCTTACTCTTTGAAAGCAATGAGCATTTTCCAAGCTGTTGAGTTTATAGCAACAAAGACTGAAACATCCCATGTGTTTAACACAGCAACACAACCTGATAAACCACATCATCACAAAATCATACCTATCTATTAGAAAGGAATACTTTCCTTTAAATTTTGCACAGAGAACAACTTGTGTCAGCAATAGAAATAAAATGTGTTCTGTTAACATATTGGGTTAATCCATTCTTCATAAGTAATCTTAAATTTAAATTCCAATATTCACTTTCCCCAACACTATGTTTCTACAGTTGTTGGTTTGTTATTTTTATTTTCACAACTGACAATCCGCTTTGAAAAGATTCCAGACATATTCTTTGACCCTGACAGATGTTTAGGCTCTGGCAAGCTTTTCTTCTCCTCATCTTTCTTCATAACAGCATATATAAAACCTCTATCAGCATTTCTGATCAATGTTTAAAACTGTTTGTTCTTTCTATCCAAGTTGCAAGAATGACACTGAACTACAAAGCACCATGTTGTTTATGAAAACACAATGGAATTCTTGTCAAATTTTATCATGTACGGTTCCATCTGCAATCATTTCTAAATAAGCTCATTAAAAGTAACTGCACTGGTTCATTAGAAAAGCATTGATGAATTATGTAGTTGTACTTACTAAAAATTAGGCATTAATTAGGCCTCCTCTGACAAAACACAGACAGAAACATAAAACCAGTGACATATCTAAAACATTCCAGAGGTGCTTCTCCTCTGTGTCATTTCATGAAAAATGTCAGCTTGTTGAGCTAATGATGCTGCCTACAATATGCTTAAGAACAGCTCTCAGTTATATCGCTGTTCAGAACTTCCCAGTCCTGCTGAGCTGGTGAACATCTCCCCAGAAAACAAGTGTGTCAGGAAGATCAATGAGCACCCTGCTGCTTGGGCCTGAAAGTGATTCTGGAGATAAGAGCAATAATTATAATTGAAGACACTTCTCAAAATTTAACAAGAACTCTTCAATAAAGCGTCTTTCAAAAAAAACAGGATACACATCCCCAACATTATTACAGTACTTACCAGATGTGAGAAAGCTCTGGGATGGGCAGCTTTGATTTTGTGAAGAAATTCTTTGCCACAGAACCTGTTGGGAAACCGTACCTTATCAACCATTGGAAATTAAATCTCCAATTATTTACCTTTGGCCAGGGCTGCTGCGCCACAAGCAGCTGGTTACTTGATGTCCGAGAGATGCTCAGATTAACTGGATGCTAATATAGCTGTTGGACCATTTGTCTCTTGGTGAATAAGTGAGAGAGAAAGCCAGACAGAGTTGTTAACCTCATTTCCCCATTCCCTCCATATGGGAAAAATAAATAAAAGGAAAACACGCTTCAGTACTAGTGACTCTAACCAGCATAATTACTATGTCACCAATGATGAAATAACAGACACAAAGGGCTCTGGTTCACCCAGAAGCTGTGTGTGCAGCAGTACAGTGCTGCAGTGTCTGCACAGCTCTCCCAAGACGCTGCTCCAACCATGACTTTTCCCTGCAGTGGCTCAAATGCTAGGAAAAAAAAGAAAAAACCCAGGAGATTCCGGTATCATGTAGCTACTGTCCCGCTGCAGGCATCCTCACTCACCCTGCCACAACAGCCCTTCTCACTCGTCTCCTAACAAATCCACCTCTTCACCATCCCATTATGCACAGGCTGTCAGGGGTACCCTGAAAGCCCTTCCTGGATACAGGCTTACAAAACATAAGGCAACATAAAGCACAGACTTATGGGTCTATACTCCTCCTCCCCTTGGGCGTTCAGGTCAGATCACCTGCTGCAAGGCGTAGGAAAAGCTGTCACTGGGGCAGGTCCAAGGTTCACCTGGCGCAGCATGTCCTCTCCAACAGCAGATGCCAAGAGAGGAGTGCGTGACCATGACAAAGCCACATAATAATAACGTACTTCCAGGATATCCCCCAACCTCTGACCGCTTGCGATTCAGGAACTTTCTTAACCAGGGGTAGCACTTAAAATATTCAATAACTTCTGACAGATATTTCAATCACAGATTTCTCAAATAACTTCTTAAAGCTGGACAAATATCTATCTAGCATCTGTATCACCCAGCAGCAAGGATTTCTACAGCTTAATTATTTTAGGATGCTGTGGAAGCTCAGATTTATCATTTATAAACAGTAATTTTGGATGTGCAAGGACTGACTGAGAATCTTGCTAAACATAAAGGAAAACGCACAGCTACCTGACAGGTTGTATACACACACGTGCATATATACACAGTTACAGACATACATAAATCTGTGAGGAAATACAATGTTGTTAAACAACCATTTTCTCTTTCAGGCAAATTATATGAAGGAGACTTAACTGAGGCAAAGAACCAGTGAAGCACTAATATCTGCCAGCAGCAGGTAATTTCTTTAAACTTCTGGCTAGATCCCAGTCTTCTGAACCACAGTAATGGAGCAGAGCTCAGTAAAAACGCCTCAATTTAAAACCTGTGATGCTTTCATTGCCAGACCAACTGTCTGTACCTGCAGTCAACTCCTCTCACAAGCAGCCTGATGCTCCTATTCAGGATAGAAATGCAATCTCAATACACGGTTAACAACACTTCTAGCATGTGTGTTCTCTCCAGCATTTGCTTTTAATCACCTAAAGGTCAAAATCTTAGTCCCTCACAGCCATAAACACTCAGGCTTGATCACAAAGGACAGTTAACTGTATGCTTCACCTTCATCACCTGGACGCTGCCACATTTCTGCTGGGAAAGCAAGCATAAGCCTAAGGGTTTTTTCAGCTCAATATACACTGCAGTTTTCATCTACAAATACAGTCCCTCAAAGTGAGAGCTCATTTTGAATTTTACTGAATCGCAACACTTCTCTCTTAGATGTAATTATTTACCTAAAAGAAGGATACTTAGGAAAAAAACATAATGATCACAGTACTGATTTGCTCTTTGATTTGTCTCCCTTTAAAAAGAAGACACAATCAACTCTTTATCATAAACTGACTCCAGAGACAAAAAAAAAAAAAAATTTATCTACCAAACACTTCATGCCTCTCAGCCTGGTCTCTCTACTCAACATGCACGTTGTTGGGTAAAAACTACCTGAAATAAAGGAGTTCAGGTCAGGCTGCAGGGACCTGAACTGGTTGATGTAGTAGTCTCGCTGCTCCTCTGTTATCCTCCAAGGGTCATCTGAGTAGTGGGCGCTGCTGTCCTGCTGCTCCCGCTCCACTGAAAGAGACTGAAGGGAGGGACACTGGCACCAGCCGCAGGTGGGCGGCCAGAAGGGCCAAGCGGGACACCGGGAACTTTGAGAAACCAGATTCACTCTCTTCTATTAGCAGACATGTACTTTAAAAAGACGACAAGCAGAAATGGCCACAGTGATTACCGTCCCACTACTTATCAGTTAAAGCTGAAGGTAATATTAGGTATCTTTACACGATTAGAGGAAGTTTTACATGACCAAAGCTAAGAGAAGATGGAAATCCTACTACTGCTGACTGCAAAAAGGAAAGTCCAAGTCATACTTTATTACGTCTGGATTCATTTTGGGGGTTCATTTTGGCTGCCAGGCATTACAACCCTGAACTGCACACTGTACACCTGAAATGGATGGAACTAGTAAAGGACCTAAAGCTGTATTTATGCAGCACCATGCATGAAAATTTAGCTTTGCTAAGAAACTACATTTTTAGTTAAGGAGTGGTGCTGTAACTACAGAGCTATACTGCTTCTGGGCCCTCCATCCGCCCAGGTAACTCGGCACACATTACACCGAGCAAGGGAGAGACACAAACCCCTAGAGACCTCCTTGACCTTCTGTCATTTCTCACGGTTGAGGTAAAAATTCTCCTTCAGGAAAAAGAACATTCTGCAGGAGAAGGACATTTTATTCATTTGTGTCTTTGCTTTCTGATTGACTTGTTTGAGGGAGGTCTGTGTGTTTGGTGGGTTGGGTGGTGGTGTTTAGAAGAGGGCTGCTGACACAATCAGTGTCTTTGTTAAACTGGAATGACCTAGTATTTCAGATGCTTTAGGCCTGGATGACAACACTTTTAAAAAGGGAGGGTAAAATTAATAACCAGGCTACAACCAGCTCCGCAACTCCTTCTCTGACACACCTGTCCATTTCCTAAGAATCAAATGCAAAATACCAGTTCTGAAATACATCAAAAGATTCCCAAAACAGGCGACAGCATAAAGCTGTAAAATAGTTTTCATTTCAAAGTGCTGCATAAATGCACCCAATTTTATTTCAAGTTAGCACAAATTATGTGGCAATTCCTGTAGATCTTTTCCTGAGGCTCAGGTAACATGTTACTATGGGTGTGAGGTGCTAAGCACTAGGGAAAAAGTACAGAGTCTGAGTCTTACTTATTAAGGAAAATCTCTACCTTAAGAGAGCTTTGCCCCTCCTTAGGGCAAACTACTTGTTTGCATAAAAAATGCACAGCAGGCATACTGGAACATCGGAAAGATCTCCTTTTGCAACCAGCAGCGAAACATAGGACCAATCTCATAAAAGCAAACAAATGCCCAGAAATTAATTTATTCTGTTTGAGATGCAATGTAACCACCTGGGGTGAAAAAAACAGAATATGCAGAACAATAGGCCTTAAATTCTGTGCATGTGTTACAGATACCATGCTAAATCAAGCAGCAACGTCTACAAAACCTCATATATTTTAAATTAAAATGTTTTACTTTTGCTAAGATAACTTCCTTTTTTTTTTTTTTTTTTTGAACTGAAGATTGGCTGTCTAGTTTTCCTGTCTATGCTATCTGGTTCTTCTCATTCTACTTAGCTTCAGCAATTTAATCACCTGGATTATTTATTTTAATTTCTCCTTCCCATCAGCTTTGTTTTTTTCTTTTTCATATACTAAAAAAAGCACACTTCAGCCTCTAGTCTAAAAACACCATGGAGAACACTTTTACTTTTGAAGTAAGAGTTCTTTTGACTTTTTAAAAAATTGTTCTATTATAGTTTTGTTAGTAATACTACACAAAAAAACCCATGCAATTCATTACCCGATTAAGAGTTGAACAGGCGACTGCAGGTTTAGCTCCATAACTCCCTGATGATGGTCCATCTTGCTGGTGAGTAGAGTGTCTGACTTCATAAGGAGCTACAAACATTTAAAATTAAGTATATAAATGAAAGGATAATGAAAAAAGATTCTATCAGGCTAAAGGAACTAACTAAATACCCCACAGTCAAGAATCTAGCTTGTGAACCTAGTATCATAGTATCAAAGTCCATTTTATCTTCTTCAAAAAATTCCAGCCACATACTTGTCTTTCACATCATTATTCTTCAGACATTACTGACAGACACTGTCAGTTATATACCACTAGATAACTGAAATAATTGTTCATCATGTTGAAATATCACAGAATCATAGAAATAGAAATATGTAGTTATACAGCCTGTTTACACATTTATACATTTTATATACTTATAGCCATATATAGCAAAATAATTGATTACAAATAAGAAAAAATAATTCAACTAAGCTGCAAAAAAAATACACTTTGACAATGCTATCAAACTGTAAATCACTAATTTTCCATATACTCTTCTTCCCCCTTCCCTAATTTCTGTTGGAAATCAAAACACATGACTCACCACTTCGGCTTACTTGGAGTAAAGTTAGTAAAGAAAAGTTACAATTACTACTTCTTTTTCTAAAATAAGTCACTTATGTTGCAGCAAATACAGTAAACAGTGACATGCTCAAGAACAATGTTTTAAAAATAGGTCAAGTATGCAAACACAAAGACAACTCACAAACCCTCACAGAGCTGAGAACTTCTGCTGCCAGCCTATTTAAAATCTACCACTACAAAAATAGTCTGCATTAGATAGACAGAACTTAAAAGACTCTTGATTGAAAAGTGAGAACAATAAATCTTAGAAATTTTGAGCTCAGGAAGACCTTAAAAATTATACCCTTATGCCCCTTGCTTTCCTGAGTGGTCTTATCCTGTATTGGTATCTATTTTTATGCCTGTACAAGTAACTTCTAATTCCAGAAGAAAACACAGGAAGGAAGTTGGGAAACATACAGATGCCCTTGGAGAGGAGATTTAGGCACAAGGCCACACTGCTCTGTGTTTGCTAGCACAAAAATCTTCCAAAACTAGCAGGAAGAACATCTATACTCATGGCCACAGTGCAAAGGGCTGCCCTTGAAGACACACTGCCCAGTGTCAGGGTTCACCCTGCCATCCGGAACAGCCCACCCAGCTCAGTGCCCTGGCACTAGCACCTCTTGCATGGACACTCATGCAGTGGCTTTCAGATCCACCCTTTTGAGGGCTCTTCAGAAAACTTGAAGGGTCCTAGTCTTAGAGGCCACGAAGATCCAGCAAGTCTCCAAGCCTGGCATTTTGTACAGTTTGGGCCATAAAATGTTAGCTGCTTACTGCCACTGAGAACACATTTGGGTGAAGTACCCCCAGTGGGATTCAAATAGAAGAGATCCCCTTTCTGGAAAATAGGAGAAATTATCTTTCTGGAAAATCACTATAGTGTTCTACACCTCTAGGATTTTATCACCTTAAAAATTCAAGTGGTTGAATAATTAATTTTAGAAGAAGCTGGCAGCTGGGTTGGATGCTACTGCCTCTGCTCACTTTGCACAGCTGCTGGCTCCACAAGAAATTTCACTGAAGTTACAACTGCAACCAAATTCAGAAGGTGGGGGCAAAAAAAAAAAAAAAAAAGCCCACAACACCCAAAATGCCCCCCAATAGCACTGACAGATCTGGGAAAGTGTCCCAGAAAACAGCAGAGTGAGGAGCAAGTAACAGGGTGGGCTGCTCGTGATGTCGCCCAGCTCTTCAGGCTGTGGGCTATCTGCTACGTGTCTTCTTCACCAGAGCAGAACACACACGGGTACTAGAAGACAAGCTCATTAGCATCGCTTATTTCAGAAGTCAGCCATCACTGTTTTGAACAGTTATGCCAAGGGTGGACTGGGGAAAAAAATCCCATCTCTGAACAAACAACAGTTTACCTAACTGGCAAATGAACACCTGTGACTCAGTCCTGGTGTGATTTTCACATGAAGACTACTTGACAGTGTTGAACACATTCTTATCATGGCTGCAGTGAGTTTCAAAATTATATGATAGCTCTGGTTTTTCACTCACTTGTATATGAGGACAACAGCTAAAGGACTAGCATGCAACACTCCTTACGCACTGCACACACACTCACTGAAGGCAGGACGGATGATGGAGGGCTAGTACACACCAGTGCCTACTATTGATACCATCTTGGTCACCCGATGTTGCAATTGGGAGAGCACAAGTAACTTACTATTAACAGGAGCTTGTAAAACCTTAGTATGGCTTCTGCCCCACTACCCTCTTACTAAAATCACAATGTTTTTCCACCTACTCTAACGGCAGTGAGATCAAGGACAGAGCATCTATGTAGTGCCTTGTTTTTGTCTGTTTTGCCTAAGTTACGTTCTAGGACTGGTTTTATATTCATGTCCTATTGTTATTTCCATTAGGAAACCAGAGAGATTATTATCCTTTCCTGCAAAGGAAGGTTCACTGCCAATCTGAAAACTAATACAGCAGAAATCAGGAGTGGGCTTTTCCTCCCCTCTAATGAAGCCAAAAGTATCATGCACTCTGAAAATGCTCACAAACACTCTGTCACTGAGATATACTGCACATAGTCTTATCAGAGACTAGGTATTAGCATTTATCTGTGAACACTGACACATTAAATCTAACTAATTTACCAGAAAGCGAACAGGATAGAACAATCAAAATAAAATTAGATGATTGAATCATTTTACAAAATACCTGTCTAATTAAATGTTAAAATCATTAGGCTGATTGTCAGTTGCATTTGAAATTTGGATGCTTCTGAGGGGGGAAAAAAAATAAAATAATTAATTACTATGTGCACATCCCAATTTTTATCCTACCTCCATGCTGCTGCTCCAGCCCGCTTCTTGATTTACTGTATCCATAACTTAAGGGTATTCTCTGGTAAGTAGAGGGAGAAGCAGGAGGTGAGCAGATTGGAGACATCGGTGGAGACTTGGGTTCCTATTCAAAAACACACCAACACAAAATGGAATTCTGAGACAACAGCAAAACAACCATGGAGTCTTGCATACCAATCTGAACGCGTACAGCACGATGGACAAAGAAAAGGCAAACACTGTCATTCCCCGACGCCCTTTATTTCCAAGAAAATCGTCCTTAAAAAAACAAAAGTTGGTAAAGACAGAATTTGAGCCTTCTAAGGGTAAAGCACAGCAATACTGTAGGAAAGCTTTACAATGAACAGCTTAAGGTATTTTACTTCAAAAAGATGCCTGAAAAAGTATAGGTAGAATCCTTAATGTGAGTCAGTATCTTTGAATTTACAGAACACATTTAGTTAGGGTGAGGGCGTTATTTGTGGGAGAGCATTTTTCATATAAAACAATTACAAAAAATTAAAATAAATCACCAAACCGATACTTTAAACAATCTGTGGATTTGTAGGTGTTAATGGGTATCTTCCCTACAGTGTTCTCTTTACCTTGACTTACAGATTGTTTAAGAAGAGGATGTGATCCTGAAACACTTTAATGTGTAAAAAAGGAAAATATTAACACAAGACAGATAAGCTAAATGGAGCCAGGGGTTCGAGGGCAGCGTTCTGCTTCAGTGTCAGTACCCACAGGCAGATAGGCATACATGCTCTTCTTCCTCATCCTGTTATTCCACCCACGTATCTTGTCATCAGCTCATTCCTGTTGGTTGACCTCAGGCTGGGAATGCCATTACTCCTGCCAATGCACTGTGTGACAATTGTGTGTGCATGTTATGGGAAGATAAAGTGCCTGCCACTAGGCATTTACAACACGACCTGATACAGTACCAGAAGACAAGATGTCAGGCCTGGGGAAAATTATGAAAATCAAGGCTGCTCTGTGAAGCCATTTGTATCTGAATAAGCACTCTCAACTCTCCTAAACACAGGTAATACAAATCTCCCTTAGACAGCTTTATTAAACTGGCAAATCAAAACAACAGATGCTGGGATGATGTTTCACAGAGAACAAAAGAAAAGTAGATTTCTTCTGGACTGCTCCTTGGGGAGATTAGAATGGAAGAAAACCTTGTGGCCTTATCCCACCCAGAAACAGGGCTCGTGAGTCAACACGTCTTCTCCAATTGAGTATTTCTGTAGTGACTACGGATCATACTGGCCATTAGAAATTGCTCACTTTCCTGTTCTGTTTCACAGACATTTCTATTTGCTACTCCTGTCCTAGTCCTCTCCAACAAACAGTGCTGGATCAAGTAGGAGGACAACACTGAAAGATTTTTTTGAGAATATTATAGGGCTCACAGCTTTATACAAGCTCATACAGAGAAATTCCCTTCAGGGATGAAACTGAGATGCATCAAAATCGGAGCACAACCCTGACAGGGATTATTTGCATGCCAGGAGTTCACCTCCTGTCTAGTGTTACAAAACTGAGTAAGCCCACATGAGGGTAATAATTTACAGGACTGGATCCAAACGGAGTATGCATAACGACATCATTGGCCTGAAGGAGACGGGCTTGTTACCTGTTTGTCCCCTTCATCTGTTCTTTTGTAGGATTTTTTTTCCAAAGTTGCATGTGGAACCTGAAATTTAACTCCATGGAGTTCTGCTGGAGTCCCGTAACGTACTTCACTGACATTTTTCAACGCCATAAACCGCGGCAGAGGCAATTCTTCATTAAAAGAGAGAAAAATTCAATTGAGACTACAGAATTTGTTAAAAGTACTTTAAGTGGCATTGTCTTGTAAAACCCATGGAAAGTTTATCTATAAAAGAATACTATTTATATTTTACAATGTTTATAAGTATGGAACTCCTGTGATTATTTTATATCTCAATAAAAGTGTGAATGTTACACAAAGACACATTCACTAGCTTAATAAATAATCTCTCCATGCAAAGAGAAAGAAATAAGCCTTGTGCATGTTATTAAAGCAAGTGGCAAACTCATTTCCTGCCTTCAAAACTTGTCTGTAATGAAAAGAATGGTTTCCCACAGAAACTGTGGGACTGATGAATGAATTAATCAGTCAGGATCACAGTATCCTCAATGCTGCCATCATAAAAGGAACAAATTAGAAATGGTAGGGTTCAGAGATCACACCAAGGCCTGGTGAGACGACCGTGTCAAAACGTCCCATGTCGCGTCCGCTCTGCAGAGCAGAAGAGTGACACTTTGTCACCCTCTATGATGATTCACAACTACTTTGAAGAAACACCATTTATTTTGGTGCACAGTCACCCTGAAAGATTAACAGAACGCTCAAAACTGAGCATCACCTCTGTAATCACTTATACCTCCAGCTACCACCAGGAAGAAAAATAAATCAATTGGAGTTTGGTACATGTTACTCACCCCACTCTAAAGGCACTCATACATTTCAAGAGAAAATGTAACTAGTGCTGGGAGCATTTCTGTAACAGTAAGTTAGTAGGATACTAACACAAGGACTGGAAGTACCTTTTTCACTCAAATTTGTGGATTATTTTCAGATTCTAAACTTGCAAAACATACACAGTAAATCTCATTTAGTTCAGGTCTCTAATGTAGTCTGTTGGGTTTTGTTGTTTTTTTTGTTTTTTTTTTTTTTTAATTAACATCCGTAAAAATGATGGCAATGCAAGAGAAAGCGTACAAGCTGTCTGTAAGAAAAACTGACAAGACAAATCCAGGCTGCCTCACTTCACCCCTAGTTTAAACTCCCCTGTCAGCGAGTCACTGAACCAAACCGCGCAGGCTGCATCTGATCCCAGCCGCCTGGTCGGGTGCTCTGCACTGCGTGAGCTCAGCTCACACAGGTCTGCACATCCTGGCTTCCCCTGCCTCCCTGGGATGGGGCACACCCAGGAACACCCTCCTCCCTGTGCCTTGTAACACAGGTGAATTTTATACTTTGTTGCCCTTAGCAGGGACAACAGAGCAGAAACCGTGCTGGGAGCAGTGACCGAACTACAAGGCTATGGGTAGGTCCTGCCTTTCCTCCCTCCTCTCTGGTCTCGTGGCCGGTTGCACCGCTGCTTTCAGCAGGAAAAAAGAGTGCTCTTGCCCAGGGCACAGCCTCCTGGCATGGTTGAAAGACCCACCTGGGATATAGGAGCTCAGGGTTCAAACCTGTTCAGGCTCAAGCCCAAGTGAAAAGCCATGTGTTTTGAAGCCTTAGCACTGCTGAGGAAGAGCACACGTCACCAAGGCAAGAACACTGAGTTACTTCCATTTAGTCGCTATCAAGGTTTCACAGCTAAAAGGGATCTGCTTTCTCTCTTCATCGCTTGAGTTTGATAAGCCTCTTCTAAGAAGCATTTTTTCCTCCATCAAAACCAGTACATTTAATATTACTGTCAATTCATTGGGAAGAACAAAGCTGTTTTAAATTACATCTAATACACGCCTTCATACCTACTGACGGAAAGCGTTATGATTTCGTCACCATTACCCATTTATTTCAGCAGAAAAAAAACAGATGAGTGTTGCAAGCTGCCTTGCACAGGGGGACCCCTTGACCTGCCCATGCCCCCCCCAACATGCCTCCACCTGAAGCAGCTATCAGCTCCCACTCTGGACAGCTGTCAAGATTAGAGGCTGAAGGTGAGAGAAAAATGCATCCCCAGCACTGATCAGCTGTCATTCGTGCCATTTATTTGGTAACGCCTTTTCCAGAGGGGGCTGCCATCTCAGCTTTGCCATACATGCAATTCACTGCAATTTTCTACCAGTCACTTGGAGAATGTAATATTACCTTCTACCCTTTCTCTGCTCCTCAAAATACAATTGTTTCATAGACACATTAGAAGAAAAGTTTACCACCACAGAGAGCTGACAAGCATTAAAGAAAGCAAGAAGCAAGTGCACAGTGCTGTGAGCAAAATATGCTACTTACCATTCTTAATGCTCTCAATTCGTACTGGGAACCCTGACTGCGCTGCCGCAATTAACTTCAAAGCAATATAAAATTGAGCAGGACCAAAATAACCCACACGTTTGGCTCCACAAACTTCTGTAATCTAAGAGAGAAAAGACATATTTTTGGTTAAATGCATTTCACTCTACCAGGGAACATAAACACTGCTACGTAAACAAAGAAAAAATTCTTTAAAAATGCAAAATGCTTGTGGTATTTAAAGTTTTCTATTAAACATATTTGTTTCAACTCGGGACATTGCTGTCTGACCACATTCCCCTTAGTATATCAGAGACAGGTAGTTATTTATTATCCTCTTCAGAAGCATTGCTGAATATTGCTATCATAAAACAATTTATGGGTTTTCATACTACGCATGGTTTTAATAGCAGGTGAAACGGTAAATTGTTAAGTAGTCTGTCAAGTAAAACACTTCCACTGCAGAAGTTATGGTATTCATAAAAAACTGTGCTTAATATTAGTCCTTACAACAACAGTTCAGACAACTACTGTAACCGGAGCATAAACGCAACACAAGAAATATCCCATCACACCGCATGAGCAGAACACTTTTCTTTGTGAAAAATTAACAGTCTCAGCACTGTACCTTAATTTCTATATATACTTTACTATTTGCTTCTCTGAGCCACCCCTATGAAGCAAACAGCTCCATGTTCACACGCTCCAACACCACCTAAACAAGCAGCAGCTATCAGCAGGTTTGAAGCACAGGCACCAGTTCTGCCATGCATTGAGCTCCCAGATGTTCACAAACAAACCTCAGCCAGGCGTTGAGGTTAGAATGAAATCCCATTTCCCCGAGATGTAAAGGGAAGCCCCGAATTGTTTTCCTGAAAATACACCTAGATGAGCAATGTCTCCTGGCTAGCGAGGTGCAGGACGACAGCAGAGCTGTGCTGGTTCTTCGTGGGTAAGTGCTCTCTGGAAAACCCAGTCCATGGATCGCTCCCAAGCTACAACAGCATGACAGAAGCCATTCGCATGTCATGTGTATAAACAAATAGCAAAAAAGAATAGTCTTTTTTCCAATTTATATGTGTGTGTGTATATATATATATACACACACACACACAGTGGCAAAATGTCAGCGAAACAATTACTGAAAAAGCAAATGTTTTGGAATGGTAATTCTTACTAATCAAATAAAATTGTCTTCAAGCAAACTCCTTCTTCTCTGGATATGGCTTCTGCTTTGACTGAGTGAGCCCTGGCTTCCTTCTCTTCCTGCGAGTTTCAGAGATGCGTGGCTTAATTCCTTGATCACAAGATGTATCAAGCAGCTTTCTTTTCTCTTACTGCTTGATGAAAAGGGAGATTGATTCTCTGTACGAAGACAGCTTCAATTAACCAGCAGCCTTTGCCATTCCCTTTCCTCTACATATCTTTTTTCTGAAGTCACTCTGGAATTTTTTTTTATTCCCCCTCCTCTGCCGCTTGTGTTACTTCTTTATTTTTCAGTGGGAACGCAGGGCACCTGGCATGTGCCCGAGACGGATGGTACCGAAGCATGATTAAAAACGGGAGTGTGCCGGCAAGGGAGGAACAGGCAGAGGGGAGCTCCTTGGAGGAGAGCTGCCAGGATGTGGGAAGGAGCCAAGCACATCGCATCCACCTCGGGGGATGGCACTATGCAGACCCCAGTGTTGCAGAGGGCTCCCCACTGCCATAGGGATCAATGTTGCCCACTGTGGGGTCCCAATGCACCAGTGGGTCCCCCGACAGCAGCCTGCCAAGGTCCCGTGGCAGAGGCTGACACCAGAGCTGGATGGCGGCCTGTGGCGTGGGTGTGCTGCCAGGACAGCCCATCACAGCACCAGCACCGCTTTGCGAGGGCTGGGCAAAGCATCGGTACAATTTCTGAACTCCAAAGCAGGTACTGGCTTCCTTCCCCTCGTCCCTGGATGCTTCTAATTCACTCAATCCCAGGGCCCACACATCCCGCTGCTGCACGGTATTTCTCCACCAGTGTCCCCGGCCCTGCCCAACACCACAGCACAGAGCACAGCCCAGTGGGTCTGACCCAGGACGTGGAGCACGCAGCGCAGCCACAGCCCAGCCCGCACCCCACGGGCACAACCACCCTGGCATGCCAGACCCCGACAGCTCTGGGGACAACACCGCCACGGCAGGGATGTGGCACAGGGGCTTGCTGCGTGTCCCAGGTGCGCAAATTAAATGACCTGGCGCAAAGCAGATGGAGAAGGGGCACAACCAAGCTGAATTCAAGTCTGGGTACACAGCCCTGGTCTGTGAGGGGGGAGGTTTGTTAAGCAAAGGCCAGCGCTGAACAAGGCAGCTGGCAAAAGCTGGGCACCCGCCAGCACCCAGGCCCTCCCGCAGGGGTGCAGGGGCTCAGCTCTTGCATGACCCCCAGGCACAGCCCAGGATGGCAGCTGCTGTGGGGCAAAAACAGCATAAAAAATCCCTGGGTGTACAAGGCGTGTACCCTAGATGGACCATTCTCTTGGGCTGCCTTCCTCCTACACTTGCTGGCACAGAGCGATGGGGTTACTATGACCTGCGCTTCCTCTCGCTGGAAAGAGGAAACACTGCACAACTGGCACTTTCACACAGGGGTTTGTCATGCTATCATCTTCCTGAGAAGATACTGAGAGTTAATTTTCCATACATTGAAATATTAAGGTTGCTGAATGCCACAAATGCTCTGCTTGATCCTGATACAGAAACATGAACATTTTACTCTGATCGAGCGGACTAAAAATTTTTATCAAGGATACACCATCTCTCAAAACTATGGTGGTGTTTCTCAAGCACGCTTAGAGCCAACCAACCTGAAACTGCCTCTCTTAATTGCGCTCTTTTGTGGTAACAACCGAAATATATTTTGCAGGCACAGCTCCTCTGCGTTAATTGTGCAACTAAATCCTGATCTCTTTGTTAATGGCCCAGAGCAAAAGATGCAAGCTGACAGAGTAGCTAAATTTATTACACAATTAATTGTAGGTGCTCATATAGTTTAATTGCAGGTACAGGAATTTACTCTTATTTGTTTCCTTGTAGAGTTAAAGGAGAGGGTCTTGGGTTCTTTCCAGACAGCATTTCATACTACCTACATCAGGACTCTGCTTAGAGCTGCTAGTGGGAGCAACCCCTCTCTCCAGCAACCACAGAGGTAGGTGGCAGATTAGCCTTTATCTGAAATCAATTCCTCAGAACATGCTGCCTGCTCAAATTTCCACATCAGCTTAAACTGAATACTGCATTATTTTTTTGTTTCCTGGTTTTACCTTTTACAGGGTCAGTGCGCGTATCCTCTTGATGGGCTGATTACATTTAGTGATATGCAATACTGAAGTTAAGCTAGTTTGTGCGATATGGTATTGAGTCTCCAAGATCCATCGAATTAAAGGCATTGTACATGAATGTGATACGATATTTTTTTAAGCTGAAACTAGACTCACTCTCTAATAAAACAGAGAGCACTTACTAAGTTATATGAAAACATCCCCTGAAAGACAGAGGAAATATCAGTTCTGCCTTCATTCAACTGATGTTTAAAACCCAATTCTTTCTATCCTTTCCTGTTGTCAGTTTGGGCTGCACACGTTTCAGCATGCTAGCAAGGAAAGAACTGATATTTTCTATTCGTGCATTGCTAAAGAGACCCACATGTAAATCAAAACAACTTGCATTCATTTATATGTCAATGATTTTTAAATACAGAACTATTGACAGTCAATTTTCATTGCAATTTTTTTTTTTAGTTCTTCAGCAGAAAACTGTAATCCTCCAGCGACAGTCAAATCTTGAAGAAAAGTTTAACGAAGAACATGTTGGAAATAATTTTTCACGGTGGCAGGTTACAGATGTTGCTTGCTAAATTTAACCTCAGGAGGATAAACAGAATTGGCCAAAAACTGATCTATCCAATGGTTTTCAAGGCAAGAACATGACATCGAGTGGACTAAAACTGAGTTTAAATTTACTGCAAGGTGTAACTGCTTATATGAAACAATTTCACAGGTCATTTGCCAATTAACGAAAAAAGTTAATTTCACACAACATGTGAAAACAACATTGCTCAGAGAAGGATGGAAAACTGTAGCGTCAAATCTTGTGTTTGTTCTCAGTCAGTCCTGGAACAGCACCTTTCAGTTCAATGGGATTTTAGCAGATAGACTTAAAACACACATTCTGTACATGAATCACACAACCTTCCCTATCATGCAGACATAAGAAGGTGAGAAAGAGCAAGATCTAGATGCCTGCACACCCTTCTGACAGGCCAGAAGTTTTTCTAAGGTTGTAAAAATTTACACTTTTTTTTTTTTAGAGAGATCTCAAACTCATCAACATTAAAACTTAAAATGTACCTATGACCTGTTCGAAAGAGTGGCTGTTTTAGAATTACTGTTCTCTATGTGAACTTTTAAAGGAGAAGCTTTACATCTTGAGACGCTGGAACACAAAGCAGATTTTTGTATTTATTATCCACTCTCTGCTTTGCTCTATCGGCTGACAGTGAGTGTTATTTTTGTAATTGCTCCTTGAAGACATCCCACATGAAGCAGCTTTTCCCAGCACAATCTGACATTGTTCCAGCTCTCCTCAGTTCTCTCCAAACAAGTTTCCACTGCAGTCTCCAAAAGCACTGACCTTCCAAACACCCTGGGCAGGTCTAATTTAGATTGCAAGAGCTAAACTTGAGGAACTGAACAAGAGCCTAGAGCTGAAGCTTGTTTTCCTTAAGTAGAAAAAGAGGTAAAATCAGAAAGAACTATTCCATAATCCCATGGACAGGCTGAGATGACCATCCTGCAGCCTCAAGGGAAAGGTTTTCAGCTTCAAGGTAAAGGTAGAAGTGGAATTTTTGCTTTTTCACTTAGATATTAACACTACTTCAGCATCCTCTGTATCTAGCTGGTACACAGTCTTTGTCTGTTCTGCCCTGTTTTTGCTACCTGCCTTATAGATGGTCACTGCCTGTCATTTGTGGGCAAACCCAGCCCAAAGGTGCTCAAACCTCTGTGCAGATTGCAAGACTCTGCAAGGAACACGCATGAGCTGAATGCATATTCAACTCATTTGGAAAGAAAACGAGCATCACTGTCTCCAACATTA